GGATGCAGTGAATGTGGCAAAGCCTTCAGAGAGAAGTCAAGTCTCAATGATCATCAGAGGATTCATTCAGGAGAGAAACCATATGGATGCAGTGAGTGTGGCAAAGCCTTCAGTGGGAAGTCACTCCTCATTAGACATCAGAAAACTCATTCAGGAGAAAAACCCTATGGATGTAATGAATGTCAGAAAGCCTTTATTTGGAAATCACAGCTCATTATTCATCAGAGAACTCATACAGGAGAGAAACCCTATGGATGCAATAAGTGTGGAAAAGCTTTCTCCCAGAAATCACACCTCATGATTCATCAGAGAACTCACATAGAACAAAAACCTTAAGAATATAGTGAATGTGAAAAATTTTAAAGAAAATAATCACACTTCCTTCTATACTAGACAACTCATTTATAGAAATCCTATGAATGCCTTGAGTGTAGGTAAGTCTTCAGATGGAAGTTATACTAAACATCAGAATGTCAAGTGGGAGAGTAAGCTTATGAATGCAGTGAATGTGGTGAACAGAGTATAGGAAAGCACTCAACACACAGTCTAACCTATTGAAAATCAGGTTATTCATACTGAGGATAAATATCATGGCTTAAGTAAATATGGGAAAGTATTTTCATAGAAATAATATACAAAAGAAATTTAGTTTCCAACTGTGATACTGCATTAAGAAATATTATATCCTCAATTCTAAATGGTAGGCATATGGAACTTTTAAAACCTGTATATAAATTCAGTAATCATGACAGCAGAGTAAGAAACATTGCTTCAGAGGTATATAAGGCTTATATTCCTGAGTATAGCTCCTTATGTATTTTGATAGGATACATGAAATTGATATAATTGTGAACATTATACGTCATGTGGTTCAGAGCATGACATCTGTCACGATTACTACATAACAATATGTTTTACCTCATACCATAACAATATAAGCAAAATCTATGAAATGAGTGGCTTATTATTTAACATGTAGTTTAAATTGTTACCAGATACTTACTGCACATGTAAATGAATTTGAGAACACTTACTGTGCTCTCTCTTCAACAAGAGAAACCAGCATTTTTATAAAGTCTCTTGCTACCTCTGAGTCACTAGTTCTTATACACAATTATTTGTATTACATATGCAAAGCAAGAATACACATTAACAAGTGAGTAAAAGAAAGATGCTGTGAATTGTATTACTCATCATTCTAAATATACACAAAGTGGAAATGGTAAAAATAAAAGACCCACAAAGCACATCCTCTTGTTACTTTCAGTGAGATTTCTATGTAAGTTCAGGTATACACAGATTAAAGATAATGTCACCAAGAAACCCTTTGTATTTTAAGTTAATATGATATGATATGATATATCATGTTATACTGTTTCCTGCTCATGGACAATGGTTTTTAGAGTCTTTATCCAAGAGCAAACATTATTTGCATATGGGGTTGTGCTAAAGGTTACAGTTAAGGTTTAGGTGAGCAAAGTATTGTTTTTGGGGGTGACTTTGACCCTAAATTTTTTATGCAGCCTATATGAGGAGGTCCCCATTGTTCTGAAGTATCATATGAGAACATTGTGGACTTACTTTTCAATTAAAATTCAACTTGGAAAATAGAAACTACTCTAAGTATTTAAAATGGGGGAATTTAACACAGGAAGTTGGCTACAAGGGTGATGATATGCCAAAAGAATGAGTGAAGCATCCCAGAAGTTCGCAGCAGTAATTCATGACCACCACTAGGCTGGAGGAATAAAGGGAGAAGAAGGTGTTACCAGAGCCCAGGGTCATCCAGTACTGGCTAGAACCATGGTGGACCTATCCAGGAAGAGCTGGAGCCACACAGGAGATGCAGCCATTACTTGAGACACTACCTGAGGCACAGACGGGAAGAAATAACCTGACTTCTCACACCCTCAAATCCTCTATGAGCACTTCCCAATAACCAAACTCAACTAGAAGTAGCTGATTCAGGAGGCTGGCCTACATCTTATACAGCAGATTTCCCCTGCCCTGAGATCAGAGGAGGCATGGGAAGGAGAAGAAATGGTTATGAGGACTAAGCAGGCCCAGGATCAGCACAGTTCATCTTTTTGTTTTTCAGTACTCTTCATGCCTTTCTGTAATAAACTTATGTAACATAAATAGTAATCCTGTGCTTCTGCCTATTATGGATCAACTATTCATCATACAAAGACACTCTCACTCTTCCCCCAATAAGAGGAAACATTGAGCTCCATAAGCCATTATTTACATCTCAAGTCCAAAATCTCTAGATGCAATGTGAGTTCACTTGATCTCATATCCTACAAACTCCAGAACTAAACCTCACCAATGTTCCACATCAAACAAAACAAGGGAAAACTCTGTAGACACACAAAAGTATGCACAGCAGGTACAGTCATCTCTGTACTTTCCATGAAATTATGGTTGATATTTTTCTCTATCACATTCTTCTGCTAACTGTTCCATGTCATGCTTGCCATCAGTCAGCAATTGGCTGATCAAGGTTCACTACCTCATGAGGTAATCAAAATCTTCATTCCTGAAGTATCTAAATTTCTACTGGTCCTACCCTTATGGGGGTGCTTTAGTTTCCCATTGAACTTTACTATCATCCATGGAAATACTAAGAAGCCAGCAAGTGAACCTGTTGGGTTCCATAGTCTACAGTGCCCCAATTCTGTAGCAGCAACACCTTAATTCTTGCATTAATTACTCCTGCCTATTGGTAATAGTAACTTCTCTGTTGATTAACATGCCATGAGAAGCTCAAGATACCAGTCTTAACTTCCAGTGTCAAAGAACTGTGTGTCACTTGACAGATGCAGTTCTTCCTTGAGAAACAAGATCTCTAACTTAAAGAAGCCTAAGGTTGCTGGGATGGAAAACAAAAACTGAGTGAATTATTATTTACATGTCCACCTCTTGCTTCCCTGTATATTACAGCTATGGGAAAAATGGTTTGTATCAGTTGCTGGTTCAAAGCATACAGTGTGTCCTATAAGACAGCACCGCAACCTTGCAGAGTACGCCAGTTCCTAGCAAAAAATTATTCACAATAGCCAAATACTAGAAACAATGCAGATCAACTGGTGAATGGATAAAGAAAATCTGGTATAGCCATACAACGAAATTCAACAATAAAAATGTGCTACAACATGGATGAGGCAAGAAAGAAGCTAGACATAAAAGACTACATATTGCATTTATATGAAATGTCCAGACAAGGCAGACAGAAAGCAGATCTGTGGTTGCCTTGGGCTGGCGGAGGAAGCAGGGAACTGACTGCAAATGGGCATGGAAGAAGTTTTGGGGATGACAGAAATGTTCTAAAATCATTTTTACAATGGATAATTTTATGGTATATGAAATTATACAACTTTTAAAAATAGAACTAAAGGAAGAAACAAACACATACTTACACTTGGAGATTTTAACTCCCCTCTCTCAGTAACTGATACAAGTACACTCCCAAAAATCAAGGAAGATATGACAGATTTGAACAATTCTGTGAACTATCCTGACCTAAGTGACATTTATAGTCCTCTACACCCAAAACCTGAAGAATGCATATTATTTTCAAGTGTATATGGAACATTCACCAAGATAGACCATATGTAAAGCCATAAATCAGGCCGTAACATATTAAAATCACATATATTCTCAACAGAATTGTATTAAAAATCAATAACAAGTCATCTAGAAAATAGCAAAACACCTGTAATTAGGTAACACACTTATAAATAACACATAGAATAAAAAAAAGGAAAATAAGAAAATAGTTTAATCTAAATGATAATGAAATCAACATATCAAAATTTGTGGGATGCATCTAATGCTGTGCTTAGAGGGAAATTTATAACTTTAAATGCTTATATTAGAAAAGAAGAAAAATTTAATTAATAGCAATGATATAAGCCTCCAACTTAAAAGAGCTAAAAAAAAAAGAAGCAAATTAAATCCAAAGTAAGTAGAAGATCAGAAATAATAAAGAAAAACTGGACGTCAATAAGATACAAAATAATAAAGACAAAGTTGGTTCTTTGAGAATATGAAATGGATAAACCCCTATCTAGACTAATCAAGAGAAATTAGAAACTCGAATTACAAATGACAGGGATGAAGGAGATGTTATCACTACAGGTCCTGCTGATATTAAAAGGAACGTTCTAAAGAAAATACCGTCACATTTTACTATGAACACTTTAAACTCCCAAATGATTAACCAAAGTTAAAAAGCTAGTGATTAATTAAAAAATACATGATATATATATTCGTATATGAATTTTGATATATTCATATTTATGAATTTACATATGAAACACACATATACATATATATGACTATAAGCCAGTAGTGTGAGAAGTTGCCTAACTTCAGGAGGGAGGAGGAGAATAATCAGGATCAGTACAAGGCTGATACCTATGAGGTGGAGGTCAGACATACCTCCACTCTCCAACCTTTTTACCAATTCTAACACCAGCTGTCCTCCCCACAGCACTCTGCCTCTCTGCTGGGTTCAGTAATCGGGTGCAATGGCCACACAGAACATAGACTTATGTGGTTTAGTAGGGAAATAACAGGCTACAATTCAGGATCAGCTTGGAAGTAACAGGATGCAGGATACAGTTTATCAATCAGGACAGTTTCCAACCAAAATAGCTCTCAACTCCTTCTTGGCCATGCCAACAGACAAGCTGTGCTTCTCACTGGGCTAGCCTCCTCTCCGTCAGGCTAGCAGGCCATTCTCTCAGCCATGTTAGCCTGCTCTCGGCCTCAGCCCTGCTTGGGCAAGTGTTAACAGTTCTTCGGCTTGCTTACAAGTGCCTGGAGGCACCCCTACTCCGCCAGCAAGCCTCCTACCCAAAGGTACTCAGCTCTCTTGCTCCGTGGGCCAGCAAGCCCACTGCAGACACCTCACTCCGTGGGCCAGGAAGCCCACCGCAGCCATCCCACACCATTCTCCTGGTTCCCACCTTCTCGAGCCACTGCTGCTTATGCTATGTGATACTGCCATGCCATCTCTTGCCATCTTCAGTGTTACAGCTGTCTCACTCCTTGGTCTAGAAGGCTTTCACTACAGGGACTCTGGTTTCAAAGGATGCACTGTGTTCCAGGTTTCTCTTCTTGATGGTAGTGAGGTCCCCCTCAACCTCTGTAGGATTGGCCCTTTTATAACCCTACACCTCCCACCAATGCCATAAAATGACCAATCCACACAGTAGGCCGGTCACCTAATTTGCGTAGTAATCCACCAATCCCCACAAAGGTTTTGCACATTTGCATAGCAAACTGTCCAATCCCTGCAGGATATGTAAAATAGACCAATCACACAGCAG